TTTTTTTTTTTGTGCTCTTTTTTCTTTCCCCCATCGTCCTATCGCATTTCACACACAACTCAGTTATTACTATTTTCACAAACTGGGTACAGAATAGAAAAGATAGATTATAAATTTTCTTTTATCTTAACGGATATGTTTATATTCCCCGTTAAATGGTATAAATTATAGTTCTTGTGGATATATTTATTTATTTATTATTTTTTTCTTTTATATGTTGTCTTTTTTAAGTTCATTTATTTCTCCTTTTCTGTATTTTCTATTATTTACTCGTTCTTTTATATATTCACAGTTCACACCATTGGCTTTTCTCGTCGTCCATTCTTTTTTTATTATTATTATTGAAAATGATCTTTATAACTTGTGCTGACCTTCTCTTTATTTTGCGTTTCCTTTTTTTTTTCTTTCTCTGTATGCATGTATGTATTTGTCAAATGTAAGAAACAGGTGAGAAGGGACGGAAGGAGAGAAGGAAAATATAGAGAAGAAGTAAAACAAAAAAAGAAAAAAAAAGAGAAAAGAGAAATAAATAAAAAAGGAGGGAGGGCTCTGTTACTATTTGTTATTATTTGTAGATGCCCCCTCGTCCAGCAAAAGGTCGCGCTGCGCAGTCGTTTGTCGCGGCTCGCGGGGCACCCGAAAGTCTGCAGAGTTTCTTGGGTGGAATTGCTTTGCCTGCGCAGAGTGGCGCCGATGATGCTGCCATGATTGAAGTGAATCTCAAACTACTGCAGAAGAGCCACGAGACCACAGTGCTGAAGGCCTTGACGGAGTTAAACCGGCAGGTCGCTGTTGTGCCGGAGTGGGAACTTCTCTCATATCTCCCAGTCATTGTGGAGGCCGTCATTCGCCACGCCGAACACCCCAACGCCGCTGTGCGTGCCGGTGTGTTTACACTTCTTCACGGTGTTGTGCAGCGAGGGGAGGAGCTGCGGCGGGAGTTGCTGCAGCGATTGCCGTCACTCGCTGTTGTGTGGGTGGCACGCATGAATGATATGGAAACTTCCGTGCGAAAAGATGCTCGTGATGCATTTAATGCCGCATTTAGCCCTGAGATTCTGCAAAAATACGCAGATGTCATTGTGGATGGTCTCATTGACGCGTATAAGGAGGTAATTGAAGAAAGTCGTGGAAAACCTTTACAAGATGATAACTTGGATAAACGATCTAATGCCATTTATTCTTATGTGTGTGCATTAGGGTATATGATGCGGCAACCAGTTGCGGCACGAGAAAAAATTATTACTTTTGTAGAGAAACAATCGTTGCTTCCTATTATGCCTTTACATGAGGGTAATGTAAAAGGTAATTTGGTAGCAAAAACACCAGTCGTACGTTCCTCATCGTTATCATTATTACGAGATATTGTTGATTCTGGACTTCTTACCCCTCAAATACACCGTTGTATCTCAACAGCCCTTTATGATGCTATGAAGGATGTTGATGTTGTTGTGATAAGACGTACATGGGAACTTCTCTTGCTATGGTGTGGAGATAACGCTCAGACTACTATTGGGTACTTTCATGATGGATTTCTCTCTAGTATTATTGATAGTTTCATGCGTTGCGATGATCCAGCCGTGGCTGAAGTAATTTATCCTTCCCTTGTTCCACTCCTTGTACCTATTACTCGTGACCCACGCTGCGCTAACGCTGCTGCTGAGTTTAGTGACGCCCTTGTGCAAAAGTTGAGTCATCTTGTGAATGCAGGTGTACAGGAGTGGGGATTGGTGCTCTCCGCCGTGATGCGGCTGTGGGAACTCCTCTGTGTGCGCACAGCCCGTCATGAACAAGAACAACAAAAACAAGAAGGAGGAGAAAAAGAAAAGGAAGGTGAAATGAAGTGTGTAAGATTATTTCGTCAAATTATCACAACGTTGTCTACTACTATAAATACACCAGCGCAACAGTCACGTTACCTGCAGATCACCATATCGGTGGTAGCACAAAGTATGACACGTGTTGCTCGTCATCAAGAGTACTTTAGCGAATGTGTGCGCACTTTGTGTGAAGATCCTGATGCTTTCTTTTCTCAGCATTCATCTCAACAGAGTGCCGCTGTTAAAGAAAGTTTTAACATGATTCAAGCAGGAGTTATGGGATCTATTGCTTCTATGCCTAGTGTATCAACGGAGGTAGAACAATTAATTGAAAAATATACACTTGGTAAGCTTTGGAAACCTCTTCTGCAGTTTCTACGTATTTCTCTCAGTAATAATAAAGCTAACAATGGTACCTATTTTATTCCCTCTAAGACCACTCAATTTATAGTTGCAAGAGGTTTAATTGAGGCCATTTCTTTCAGTACTATGAAGAAAGAGGTAAAGGGAAAAGAAGAAAAAGAAGGAGTGAAAAATGAAAATGAAATTCGAGAAGATTCTAATGTAGCATGTTTTGAAGAACTTCTATCGCTTGTGTTGGAGTGGAATAATGTTGAAATTCGTGATGAAGTGCAAAGGTTGGTTAGTAACATGGATGATGAACTAGAGTGGGTACAAGGGAGTATTCGGAAACATGATATGAAAGACCCTGAACGATTAATGTCTGTATTCCTGCAAGCATGTGAGGATTCTGATTTTCGTACTCTAGAGTGTTGCGTCAATGCGTTTGAAAGTCAGCAACGGGAGATTCCGCCAACAGAGAAGGAACGACTTCGGCATGCCGTGCAGTTATCACTCCAGAAAACATTACGTCTTATTGTTGCTGAGACTGAAGAAGAACACGTATCACGTGATGGCGCCAAATCAACCAACAGCAATAAAAGTAGTGATGAATCAAATGATAACTCTGCAGAAGAAGATGAAGAAGATGAGTCAGAAGAGAAGGACAAGAACAAGAGTGAATCTGAAAGTGAAGAAGAAGAAGAAGATGAAGAAGAAGAAGATGAGGAAGATGAAGATGCAAATGAGGGTGCATTGGTATTAGAGCGACTCATTACGTGGTCTGATCTTCTTCGAAAAGATGCACGTTTGGCTATTCTACTCAACTTCAGCAGTGATGACTTTGAACTACCAATATTGTTTCGTATAGTGGCTGCTGTTTCTCCACAATTACATGCAGAACAGTACATGTCCATTAAGGCACTCCGTGTTGCTCTACAGGAAACGGGAGATCCGCTGCTGCTTGCAATGTCGCGGAAAACACATTCGCTTGGTGTTAGTCAATTCAATCTGATGATTGAACACATAGAGGAATGGTTGGATTCACATGAGGTGAGTGTGGAGCGTCGCGATACGGCATCGTTGGAGCTCTTTGATGAAGTTATGCGAGATCCATCCTCTGCTCTCGCAGCGTGTGGACAACTCACACGTTTGTTGCCATTTGCCTCCAGTAATTTACTGCAAGGTATTGCGTGTAGTGCGGAATTGTGGTCTGAGAATGAAGTGCGGCTACGAGAGAGTAAAACATCTGCAGAGGATGTGCCGTTTGCCATGCTGGATAGATATTGTTCATTGGAGATGATGGAATTATCTCTGCTGCGATGTGTACGAACGGCACAACTCGTACATTTACTTGGCGTTTCGGTTCCAATTGAAACATGTGATGCGGTGACGGTGACACTTCCATTGTTGAGAGCTGCACGTGTACAAGAGACGATGGCGGATCCTATACGAAAACTACTAATGACAAAGTTACTACCACGTGCATTACTTCGTCTTAACTCAGAGAAAGAAATTCTATCACTTTTAGCAGGAGATGCAGAGCCGCATCTTCTTATTTGTACACTTGCTGGCGTTATTCGTGATGTGTTAACACATGCGAATGATGCTCTTGTGGAGAATGCGCGGTGCATTGCAAGTGTAATCACAGAGTGGATTGTGGATGCGCTTTTCTTCCACAATGAAAAGAATAATAATAATAATAATAATAATAATAATAATAACAAAAAGTCGGCACCTATGCATCCTGCAGCTGTAGCAGCGTATCGTGCCTTCTTTGCTTCTCTTGATGAGGCAGCCGATGTAATTGGAGCTTCTATTCTCTCTACTGTAGGGGCTCGTGCAGGAGCGGCACTGCAGGAGGCTATGTGTATGTTACCTACACTTGATTTACGTCAGGCACTACTCACAATGACTCTTCATCGTCATCTCAATAATGCACCTGTTGTGGTCGCTAGCACTGTGCATCAAGTCATCACTTACGCACGTTCGCAGCGACCACTAGACGCGTTGGAACTCCTTTCAGAGTTTATCTCCAGTCGTATTAATGATGCCGCTGCATATACAGAGCTTGTACACGATATCACACACATGTTAGCACGGTGCTATAGATTACGTCACATGCCACCAAATGGACGATTAGTCACACAAGCCGCTAATGATGTTCCCATCTCATCAAGGGATCTTCGTCGTGTTGTTGTCTCTGCTGTATGTGCACGTCGTGGAGTTAATTTGCATGGTCGCATAGATGATGTACTGCGCAGTTCTGTGCATCTCGTTTTATTTGATGCGGTGGCAGAGTGTGTGGTATCACTGCGCCAAACGAAGGAAGAGGAAGTGCCGCTTGTGACGAAACTCGTCGCCTTCACATCTAATTGCCTTAGTGAGTTAGTGACATCAGATGTTTCTGTATTGCGTGCCTCTGAGGTGAGTGTGACTAAAGTGGCAAGTGTGATGAATTTCGCCTATCAATGGCTTTGTGTCACATCTATCGCAAGACTTGAAAATATTGGAATGGATAATGTTACGAGTGCTATTCGAGCAGTGACGTTATTATCAAATTTAACACTTATGCGTTCAAGTTTTGTTCTACTTCCTATAATGCGTCAAATTACATCCAAACGTACATTAAAAAATTTACGTAATGAATTTTGTGTAAGATCTCCAGTAAAAGTTAATGTGTTTATGCGAAATACGGCTATTATTGCAAAAACCAATAAACAGAAATTAGCATTATTCCCTCATTTACTTGCGTGGTGTATTACACTCAGTGGTCCTATTCATGATAGTATGACAAGAGAACAACGTGAAGAAATATTTCATCTTCTTGATCTTCTCTGTTCACTTTTACTGACTTCTGCAGTACCTGGAAATAAACGACTGGATGGTACATATCTCTGTACATCTGTGAAACTTTCTGGTGAAAATCTTGGATTTGAGACGGCTGCTTTAACACGTCCTAATGCGTCTAATCCAATGAAAGAATTAGCGAAGGGAGCTGCAGCTGTTTTTGCACTTTTATTGCAGGGTAATACGTTATCCGTTGTTAAGAATTGGCTTGAAACTATTGAACGAAAATTACAGGATTCTTTCTTTACCTTTGTGGAAGAGCATGTATCACCATTCCTTATTCAAGAGAGTCTTCTCACAGTACTTGGTAAGAGTCCATCAGGAGAGACTACATTTGATGTGAATGAAAATTACACGGTTTCCGTGAGTCTTGCAAAACACCTTATCACCTTAAAATATACCATGGAGGATGCCAGTGTAACTGTAAAGATTACATTCCCATCTGCATTTCCCCTGCGACTACCAACAGTTACATTTGAAAGTGGTCGTGACTGCGGTGTATCGACGGAACGGTGGCGGGCGTGGATGCTTAAAATGACAGTTCTCCTTTTTGGCGGTTCTGCCAATGTGTGGGAGTGTGTCACTCTCTTTGGTCGCAACATGGATGCACACTTTGCTGGCCACGAGCCGTGTCCAATTTGTTTTGCGGTTGTCTCTGCGGTGAGCCACCGGCTGCCGGATATGCGATGCGCCGTCTGCCGCAACTCTGCCCTGCACTCCGATTGTTTATACGCATGGTGGGCAAACAGCGGACAAACCGTATGCCCACTCTGTCGTTCACCATGGGTAGGGAACTAGGATAATATATATATATATATATATATATATATATAATATTATTTCTGGTGTTCTCCTTGTCGTTTCGCAAATTTTTATTTCATTTATGTTGATGTAATAATCTCCATGAGATTGTGTTTCGTAATATGTCCTCTTTCTCTTCTCTTGCTTTACTATGAATCTCTCTATTGATGTTAGGTACTCCTAAAACTGTTTTACATGGTTCTGAGAAGGATTTTCTTATCTTTTTTTTCCTGTTTCAAGATGTTTATATATATTTCTTTTTTTTTGTTTTGTCTTCACATGTTATATATACATATGATTGTTTTATTTATTTCTTTTATTTCTTTCATTTCTTTTTGGGGTACAACATAAAGAAACTAAAGGGACAGTTTTTTTTTTAATTTTTTCTTCTATTGATTAGATGCAACCTGTCATCCACCCGCTGCCACGCGAGCAGCCGCTGATCTCATCTAGACGTGCAACCGTCGATCGTGCCCGTCGTTTGCATGCAGGAACATTAAACATCTTTTCTGCAGAGCCACCCGCGCCTGCTGCTGCTCCATTCCCCAAACGTCAAGAACATCACAGTGATGAGTCGCAGGAAACCCGTGAATTTGGGTATCCACATCTGCGCCGCGTTAAACCAGTACAACGCCCGGAAACACCGCGTGGTATTCATCAAGTTCCTCACGCTTCAGGAAAAGTACAGAATATTCAAGTTGTTGGGATCACAGACGCTTACAAGAACCCGAGCAACATGCCAACCCCACGCGGTGGTGTGCGCTGCACCGCCCGCAGTAATTCTTCCTCCATGCGTGATATACTCGCCTACAAAGATAATAGTAATTTCAATACACTTAATAGGCTTCCTGTCTCCAGACCTCCATCCCGTACTCTTGATTATAGCAATCAGGAACGGTTTTGCCAGGCAGTGCGAGATCACGCACAGCATAGACGTGGTGGAGTAACTGGGTTTTACGTTAATCTCGCGCGTCATCGCGTGGGAAGCGGGAATTGTAATAATAATAATAATAATAATAATAATAATAATAATAATAATAATAATAATAATACACATTATAATCCTCCCACTCCACTGCGCGAGTGGCATTTGGAGGACCCGCCGCCAACACATACGTTGTCGCTTGGTAGTTGCTGGGAGCAGTTGCAGTCCCTCACGGGCATTAACATCACACTCATGCAGCTGGCAGAACTGATATGGGATAAGGACGAGCTCACCGCGTTGATGGGCGGCAGCGTGGATGAGGAACGGCTCGGTGAACTCACAGTCTCTTACCGTGACTTCTCCGTCGCCTTTGGTGATAACTCCATGAACAACAAACTCGCCATCATGAAGATTTAACCCACAGAAAGAGAGAGAGAGAGAGAGAGAGAGAGAGAGAGAGAGAGAAGTGCTAATAATAGTAATAATGATAGAAAGATAATAGACTGAAGAAATCTGGGCAAAACGAAAAACAAACAAAAAGAAAAAAGAGCGCCAAGAAAGAAAGAAAAAAAGAAGCAAAAAGGAAGACAGAGGCGTGTATCCGTAGGAAAAATAAAAAGATTACAGTTGTGTAGATGGTGGAAAGTTTCAAATAAACTTGTTTTTTCAATAATATTTGAAATAGTTCTTACTTTACGTTTTTGTTTTGTTGTTATTGGTGTTTGTGTAGAGTTCATCCATAGAGAACAACTGATAGTGTGCGCTGTGAATTATAGAAACTGATTCCAGTTTTTTTTTATTATTATTATTGTTTTTTTTTTTACGTGTTATTTTTGTTTGTTATTTTTTTGTTTTCTCTAACGTTCATGTTTTTTTTTTTTTTTAGTACTACCACTATACCAGGTCAAATTTTTTTTTGTTGATTATATTACATAAAAAAAAAAAATTCTACTGAGGACTGTGTTTTTATATTTATTTCTTCTTATTTCCTTATTCGGTCTCCTAAAATGTTTTCTTTTTGTTTTTCTCCCTCTTTTGTTTGATATTTTTCTTTATGGAATTGTAGTTTAATAGCTATATATATATACCTATCTATATATATATTTTAATTAGATATATCCTTCTGATATTTTATCTTTTAGTTATGTGGGAAACAGCTTCTTTAAGTAATGGCTCTATTGTACATGAAAATCATAATGATTATAATGATTATAATGATGATAATGCCACGGTGTGTCCTTCACCAGTGGAGGAGTCATATGTGGAGAGTGGAGTTATTACAGGTAACGCATTGCTGAACGCCAAACTTTCGGAGACGGATATTGCACAGGCACATACTCTACGTATGATGGGAAGTGATTATGATGATAATACGGCACATTACGTTGCAGAAAAAGTGATCCCACTAGCCGTCACATTACGTACTGTAGAGATTGCATCTACACAATTTAGTCCAGTCGGTCTTAAGAGCCTATTGCGTGCGTTGTGGAAAACACCATGGGATACGTTAGAGCATCTTTCCTTGTGTGATGTACATCTTCACTATGAAGAGTGTTCTCTGATTCGACATGTGATGATTAAACAACGTACACATCTCAAAGTGTTGCAGTTGCGACGGTGTCATATGGATGATCTTGCAGCGCAGTCAATTGCAGAAGGTGTTTCACAGGCAGATTCTCTACAAGAATTATTTCTTGCAGACAATGATGTAATTCCAGCTTTTACAATATCTGTAGAAGAAGGGACCCTATCATTCCCAAATTCTCTTAAAACACTTGATATTAGTGGAAATCACATTGATCCACATCATCACCGTGGTCTCTATCGTGCCTTTTCTCGCTGTGCCTCTTCAATAGAGGAAATATACCTTGCAAGATGTTCTCTCTCTGAAGATGGATTAAATGCCCTTCTACATGCTGGTATTCACTCTTCTCATGCGCTACGTGTATTAAATGTAGCATCTGGTCGTCTCTTTCGTGGAGCTGGTAGGGTGCTTTGTAGTGTTCTCACAGAGTGTCCAAACTTGGAACGGTTGTATGTACAAGATAACTTTATTGAAGTAGATGGTGCTGCGCGAATGTCTGTTGGTATTCCATATGCTAAGAAACTGACCGTACTTGGAATGGGAAGATGCCATTTAGACAGCGAAGGTGTAAGAATTATCGCTGAGGCGGTAAAACAGAGTTCTTCACTGCGTGAACTCGATCTCTCTGGGAATAACGTACATGATAATGATGTATACCATATCTGTGCTCTCACTGTGGATGGATGTCTACGGTTAAAATTCCTTGATTTATCTGATAATCCTCTGACAAAAGCCTCTTGGGCAGCACTTCAAACCTTAATAGAGAGAGAAAAGGGAAATGGTTGCACTATACTAGTTCGTGGGACAGAATTAGAGGAAGAATATTCATATCTTCGTTGTGATAACTGATGTGATACCACATTGATGGTATTATTTCTTTAATCTTGAACTCCAAGAAGTTTTTGGCATTTCTTACTCAGCAAGTTAGATATGAGGGTGTGATAATTATGAAGATGTAAACAAGATTTCAGTTCAAAAGGTTTATGACCAACATAACCATTCAGATAAAGAAAACAACAACAAGAAGAAGAAGAAGAGCAATGAAGTAGAATATTTAGTTAAGTTAAAAAAAGATATATTTCTTTTTCTTTCTTTTTGTCATTGTGTGAAGTTAGTCATTGATAATTTCTTACATTTTTTTTTCCCTTCTTCTTTCTCTCTTTTTTTTTCTTTTTCTTTCTCACCACCGCGTACTCTTTGTTTTTCCTTACTATTTCTCACAGAACGATTCTTAGTACTCCCATTAGCAAAAGAACTTATTACTGTTTCTGCCTTAATTTACTTACCCCATTTTTTTAAAAAAAAAGAAAGAAAAAAAACACAAAAATAAAACTTACTTCAATATCTTATCATGCTGCGTCGCTCTTTGGCATTCTGTTCTAAGAAAGCTCCGCCTCCATTTAAGTATGTCCCATTGATTCCACATGCTTCCCACAATGATACCCCGTTTCGACTACTCACAAAAGACTATGTTTCTGTTGTTAATCCTGGTGCTGGAATTCCAGAAATTCTTAAGGTAGATGTGGAGGGTTTGTCATTGCTTGCCGCAGAAGCTATTGGTGATGTTGAGCACCTTTTACGTCCCTCACACCTGCAATGTTTGCGTAATATATTTGATGATCCTGAAGCCAGCGATAATGATCGTTTTGTTGCTTTACAACTCTTAAAGAATGCGAACATTGCTGCAGGTCGAGTCCTTCCTGGATGTCAAGATACTGGCACAGCAATTGTTGCTGGTTATAAAGGTGAACAAGTTTTCACAAATGGTGATGATTCTGAGGCGTTAAGTCGTGGTGTTTACAAGGTATTTACTACAACTAACCTTCGATACAGTCAAAATGTTCCACTTTCTATGTATGATGAGAAAAATACAGGATGTAACTTACCGGCACAGATTGACCTCTACGCTACAAAAGGACAAGAATATGAATTTATGTTTGTCGCTAAGGGTGGTGGTTCAGCAAATAAAGCATACCTATTTCAAGAAACAAAATCTGTTCTTAATCCAAAATCTATTCGAAAATTTCTTCAAGAAAAGATTGCTACCATTGGAACAGCGGCATGCCCCCCATATCATATTGCTGTTGTTGTGGGAGGAACAAGTGCAGAATTAACTATGAAAATGGTTAAATATGCCTCTTGTAAGTACTATGATTCTTTACCGACTAAACCAGATGAATCTAAAGGTTATGCCTATCGTGATGTTGAAATGGAAAAAGTGGTAATGGATATTTGTCGTGATATTGGAATGGGTGCCCAATTTGGTGGTAAATATTTTGCCCATGATGCCCGTGTGATTCGTCTACCTCGTCATGGAGCCAGTTGTCCTATTGGTATTGGTGTAAGTTGCAGTGCGGATCGTCAGGTGCTTGCGAAGATAAACAAGGATGGTATTTGGTTGGAGCAGCTCGAGACGGACCCCGCCAAGTACCTCCCGGAGGTGACGGAGGACCAACTTCTGCGGGTGCCACCGGTGGAGATTAATCTTAACATGCCGATGGACGCTATTCGTGCGGAGTTGTCTAAATACCCCGTGAAGACACGACTGAGTCTCACCGGGACGATCATCGTCGCTCGCGATATTGCCCACGCCCGCATGCGGGAGATGCTCGAGGCGGGCAAGCCGCTGCCGGCGTACATGCGGGACCACCCGGTCTATTACGCCGGGCCCGCCAAGTGCCCCGAGGGCCTCCCCTCCGGCGCCTTCGGCCCCACCACCGCCGGCCGCATGGACCCCTTCGTCGATCTCTTCCAGTCGCACGGCGGCTCATTTGTGATGCTCGCGAAGGGAAATCGCAGCCGGCAGGTGACAGAGGCCTGTCGCAAACACGGCGGATTTTATCTCGGTAGCATCGGTGGACCAGCAGCCGTGCTCGCAACGGAGTCCATCCGCAAGGTGGAGGTGCTCGACATGGCAGAACTCGGAATGGAAGCAGTGTGGAAGATTGAGGTGGAGAACTTCCCAGCGTTTATCGTCGTCGACGACAAGGGAAATGACTTTTTTCAGCAACTAAAATAAATATCAGCGCCTCGTCGTCGTCGCCGTCTTCTTCGTCGTTGTCGCCCTCCCAAAAAAAAAAAAAAAAATCATTATCAAAAGACAACGAAAGGAGAGATGAGGAAATGAAATAAGAAAGAGAGAGAGAGAGAGGGAAATAACAAATTGAGAAAGGAAGATACAAATATTGACATTTCAAAGGAGAACATGTTTTCTCTTATTCTTTTTTTTTTTCTTTTTTTTTTTCTTTTTCTCTATCTCTTCTTCTTCATCATCATCTCTGTTTTAATCACTTGCAGTTCCCACTCCCAACTATGAAAAGAACGTGGAGGGCGAATGCACACCAAAGTGAAATTTGTACGTAGGACATTATATATAAATATATAATGTCTTGAATATAATTGCATCTATGGATGCATGCGTTCGTATGGGATTCTGTGATTAAATGTTTTTCGTTTCGTTTCGTTTCGTTTCATTTCGTTTTTTTTTTTTTCAAGTATCTGATAATTCCAGCAATGATGTGACATGAAGAAAGGTTATGGTTGTAGATAAAGACTCGTGCATTTATTAAGATATATATTAAGGAAAATAAACTGCAAAAGAAAAAAAAAAAAGAAAAAAAAAGGGTCTACTATTTTAAGCGACTGTTGGCGCTGAAGTTTAGAAGAGACTTAGAAAGGGATTCATGGAATGTTTAGAAGCGAAATTTAGAAGGAGTATATTTATATTTTTTCCTTATGGTTTCACTTTGCATTCCTGTGTGAATGCGTCAACGTGGGGGAATTTGTACTTTTAACAAATTTCTTTTTTTTTTTTCTTTTACTCTTCTTTGCGTTGATTGCTCAAATTATTACTATTATTATTTTGTTCTTTCTGAGGAGAAAGTATTTGATTAGCTTCTCATTTTTATTGTGCCCCCTTTTTTTCTTTCCTTTTCTCTTATGTTTATTTCTTACTTTTTTTTTTTTTAATCCACATCTTCAGTGCCACCCAAGCAAATATAATTCAAGAAAAGGCACAAGGGGGAAAAAAAAAAGAAAGAGAGAAAGAGGAGGAATATGTCTATGCGTTTGTATCGTGCAACGCCGGTGTCTGTCGCGACATCACTGCCTTTACTTTGCAGTTCAACTCCTGTCTTCTCCGTTGCATACTTATGCCAACGTCAACACATGTCATCCCCATCCGGTGGTGCGTACCCTAGTGAAGGGGCAATGCATCAACCAGGTGAATCTGGACAACAGGCTGGTTCTAGTAGCACTATAGCCGGCAAGGAGACATGGTCGCAATTCAGCGCAAAGATGCGTTACGGCAGACGTCGTATTCGCGTTATTGATGTAGCGGCAAAAATGTCATATGAGTATCAAATGTTGCGTAAAATGTGTAAGCGTCGTCCATCTATGCGACAATGGGCGGTGCGAGATGATTTTTGTGATATGCAACCTGGTGTTGTTGTAATGTCACCGTCTATGCAGGCGGCTTTTATGAAGGTATTTCGATTAAAAGATAAAGGTCTCATACGACACTGTTTGCGTGATATTATTCCTATTATTGAGTATCGGAACCGTGAGGAACCGGTACGGTTACCGACAAATCCGGCAGATATGATCCCTGAAGGAGAAGCTGATACACTTAATCAGAAAAAACGTGAACTATTTGAACGACGAGAAAAAGGTGATAATTTTGCTGAACTTCGATTACATGATAAACGTTCACAGGCGAAACTTCGTTTTAAAATTCGACAACGACTATTAAAATTTCAACGTCAGTTAGCGGTTGCAAATGCTGTTGCAAGTCGATCCGTTTTATACTCTACAAATGATGCTATAGGATACTTTCTCTTTAGAGGAGCGGCAATGTATGCTGGGATGCACCGTGTATTTTTTGAACTTAGTAAACAACTTCCACATTTTGTACCCAAAACAATGATGGACTTTGGTGCTGGTACTGGAACAGCAACTCTTGTTGCGAAGGAAGTGTATGATCCTGGCACTCTCGCCTATCCTCTCTACCGCTCACTAAGGCAAACAATGCAAGGAAACGACGCTTCCCGCAGTCACCAACTCTCAGAACTACGCTACGACCTTCAACGTTTGCAACGTAACAATGCAGAAAAAAAGAAAGTACGGTTTATGGCTGTAGCCGCATTGTTAGAGCGGGGTGAAGTGGATCCAGCAGATTTACCAGAAGATTTGCGTCGTGAAATAGCAGAAGTTGCCTCAGGTGCGGCAGCAGCGAAAAAGGAACGACTTGTGCGAGAAGCGCATGCCCGACATCGAGATGTGGTAGATGGAACAGAATGGGAAAGCGGTGATCCTCTCGGAGAACACCGTGCTGCCACAGAAGATCCAGATGACATATTAGATGGTGAAGAACCTGAAGAAGATAAACTAAATACAAAAAATAAATCACATACAAAAACATGGTGGGAAAAATTTGTTGATCTTGAAAATGAAACAGCACAAAAACGAGCTAGTAAAAGACTTCGTCCATTACAAGAAGTTACTGCCATTGAACCTAGTCCAGGTATGATGGAAATTGGTACAATGGTATTACATGATGATGTACCAAATGTTACTTGGAAACGTTATTTACTTCCTGAAGATGAAGCTATTCAGCATGATCTAGTAGTAGCTGCCTATTCTCTTAGTGAAATAGCAACCACAGAAAATCGTCGTCGTGTAGTTCAACAACTATGGAGGATGACAAAAGGTGTACTAGTACTTGTTGAATTTGCTAACTTAAACAACTTTAATATTATGATGGAAGCACGTGATTGTATTCTTGAAGAGAAAGATGTTGGTTTATGGGATTGGCAACCCACTATAGTTGCTCCTTGTCCACATGAACAGCGTTGTCCTTTACGACATTGTAAGAGTGGTGTAAAACGAAAACGTATGCGTATTTGCAACACAGAGGCACACTACCGAGCTACATTTGTGGAAGTATGGGCACGTCATATGCCACTTAAAGTAGGTGTAGAACCTATCACGTATATGATATTTGCCCGAAACGAACTCGTCCCTGAGCGGGCGGAACGTCGACAGGAAGCACTTAAAAAAGCAGAAGAAGCTAAACGTCAAGAACGAGATGAAAAACAGAAGGAATTATATGAGGCATCACTCGCAGTAAAGGATGTTGTGTTTGAGCGACTCAGTGAAGAGGCGTTACATAGACCAGACACTGGTGTTCCGGTACCATTATCGCAAACCTCTCAAACAAAGAGTTCAGAACCTTCACAAGAACTGCAGACGGCACTGCAGAGTGGTGCCACCAGTACAGGAGAGATTGGACACATGCCAACAGATGTACCACGACTTGTAAAGACGAGCAACACACGTCATAACCGTCTTATTTTTCCATTACAATTACCACCAGCAACACATAAGTTTAACCGTGCATTTGTGGATGCTGGTTATCAGCGTCAGCGGGCTATCACACCAGCAGAGATGCTTGTTGTTCGACAGGAATTAGATCAAATGCGACAACGTGTAATGCGAATGGCACCAAAATATATGCGTGTTGTGCGTGATCCACAGTGCCGTGGGAAGATTCAAGCAGATTTCTGCACACCTGAAGGCAATCTTATTACAGGACGTGTGTATAGACGTTTCTACGGTGATCGTAATCGTGTTAGTGCACACACCACAATGCGTTGGCAACACATTGGCGGATGGAAATTGCTAAAACGTCTTAAACGGGGTTCACTCTTCCCACACGACGTTCCACTCTACGCAGTAACAAAACATCCACAGATTGACTTTCCCAACACGTTATTGGATGTGCGGCACTCCACTGTGGAACAGACGGCCATGCAATATAATGATCCCATGTCCTTGGTGGAAACACCTGATGAGCAACTTAGTAGGGAGGAATTACAACGAAAACGACGAATGGAGCGGGATGTAGAACTACAACAGAAAGTTGAATCTAAACTTGAAGAACTTTTTGGTTCAAAGATAAAACAATCGGATGAACTTGGTGCTAGTCGTACTGATTCTCGTCGTGATATCACAGAACAGGAATGGGCTGATGCTGTGCGGCGTGCTAAAATCCGTACAGTACAACACACGAAGAACGCCGTACCATTTGCAGCGAAGAAGCGGGCGGCGCAACGTGCACTTCAAATACGGAGAAGAAATGTGAAACGAGAAATGGCGTCAAATAGACGTCGGTAAAGAAGAAAAAAAAAAAAAAAAGGAGGCACAAGAAGAAAGAAAAAGACATATTTCCATTAGAGATATCTGTATTGTCTCTCTCTCTCTCTCTCTCTGTGTGTATGTGTATATGTGTTCATTCTGTGTTTGCTTACAGGAAGAAGATGATCTTAACTTTAAATAAAAAACTAATTGGTGAAGGACTGTTGTTAATATCCATTGCATCCATTATAAAACATAATAACGTTTTTTTTTTCTTTTTTTTGTTTTCATTCTCTCTCTTTCTCTCTCTCTCTTTGTATGTGTGTTTGCCTGTGAGTAACACTTTCCTTTATGTATTCTTTTTTCTTTTTCTTCTTTACCTACATACTTTTCTTTTACAACACCTCTTTTTCTTATTTATTTATTTTCTTTTACGAGACGGAACTTGTTCCCTAAATATTATTTTCGTCCCACACAAGATAAAGAGCTGAGGTAATATAATAAATCTCAGTAAACACTTTTTCAACACATCATGCAATTGCTTACCAGGAATTCTATTTTTTCCTTTCACATCCGCACGGTGTTGTTGATGGTGTTATTTCTTACCGGGTCTTTTACATTCACGGTTTCCATGCTTTCCAAGGCAACAGTATTGACACAAACGTCAACAGAGATCTGTGAAGGAGTACGTCCAGTTGATCAAGTTGTATTGATTCTCATCGACGCGTTGAGGCCAGATTTTGCGCTATCTGGACTTTCACACCATTACTCCGCTGGTAACGAATGTGGGGTTACTGCTGCTTCCTCCAATAAAAGTACAAATCCCAAACTTCATACAGCCAATACAGACGGTAATCAGCAAGATCATCAGGGTAGTGATAGTGACCGACGTCATCAAAACTCTACACTTAAGTATGTGGAAGAAAAACTTCGAGATGTAACACATCCCTCGCACGGGTTTTTCTTATTGGCGGACACTCCTACTATAACATGTCAACGATTAAAGGCAATTGCAACAGGTACTATGCCAGCATTTCTTGAGGCTGGTGGAAATTTAAATACAGATATTGTGGTAACAGATAGTTTGTTCCGACAGCTGCACGGACGCTCTATTCTTCTTGGTGATGATACGTGGTTGAACTTATTTCCTGATGATGATATAAATACATCACTCTGGAAACGTACTATTGCATATCCTCCATTTAATGTATCAGACTTTGACACCAATGATCGAGATGTAATGACAAATCTTCTTCCAGTACTTTCGACGGAAACAATTGAACGAGCACCAGCAGACTATGCGAAACTTATAGTAGCCCATTTTCTTGGTGTAGACCATATTGGACATCGACTTCATGCTGATCATCCGGCAATGGGTATAAAACTTGAACAACTTGATGAGGCACTACGCAATATATCACAGTTTATTCGGAATAAACGGAATACTTCTACACGAACACTTTTGTTGGTATTTGGTGATCATGGGATGACAAATAGCGGCGATCACGGTGGGGACTCATACCAGGAGACAGATACCTTTATGTACGCAGAATTATTTGACGGTAATGTAAATGTATCGTCATACACATCATCATCACCATCTCTACAACAGAAGACAGAGATGACGCGACAACGTTGGCATGATGATATTGACATTGACTTGACTCGTCTTAAACCATGTGTAGATGCTGCTGGTGTGCATCGTGATAAGTTGAGCGCCGCACATCAGGTGGATATGACATCAACAATTTCTGTAGTACTTGGTGTACCAATTCCGTTTAGCAGTTTTGGTCGTATTATTCCAGAGATTGTTGCACTAGTAGACCCTAAGGCTAACATGGAATTACTTGAAAAGTGTAATTGGCATCAATTAATGTCTTACTTTGAAGAATCACATTTGCCAATAGACAATGTATGGAAGGATGGGAACCTTTCATGGAAGAGTCGTATTGCAGAGATGAGTCATTTTGGACGTAAAACACGTACTAAAATGAAACGTGATGGAATGTTCATTGGATCAACTATATTTTTAATGGCGGCCCTTTCCTTTCTATGGTATGATGAGGTTTTACACTCTTTACATAGGGAAAATCTTATCAGTTTTTGGGCAATTGTGTTATTCATATTTCGTGTTTGCACTGTATTTGCGAACAGTTTTACTGTAAAAGAAAGTGTAGAAGTGCTTTCCCTTTTTCAGATACTATTGCTTACAGGATTGGTTGCTACACCGAAACGACGTGTTTTCTTCTATATTCTTATACTTCTCATATCTACAAGAGTGATTGTACCGCTAATTTGCCGTGATCGATCACACATTACCCATGTGGCTGAAAATATCTCACCAATGGAAGAGTGGGTAAACACAAATATACCACCAAACTTTCGATGGGAGGCTGTGGGAACACTAGCAGGCACTATGGTATTTACCGCAATATTACCAAGCACAAAATACCGTCTATGCACTGTAGCCCTATTTGTACTCCTTACAAGTTGTTACAAGCGACCTGTTTTACATCATCTTGCTCCATTAATGTTTTTAGCTGTAACCGCTTTTGTGCGCAATGCGGGGATGCTAAGATATGTGGTAATTGTCTTATGGGCAAGTTCACTCTGTAATGAAAATATCGTGGCAAGTGTTGCTATTGCGCTTTATGGTGCAATATTACCTATTGTTATTAAAGCCACAGATAATTTTTCCCCCATCTACCAAGGAATATTGCTGCACCTCCTATCGTGGGTAGGATTCTTTGCTCAAGGACATCAATGTCTTTTCAATACTATTGACTTCAACGCTTCATTTGTTGGTATGCCATTCAATAACATTCCAGTAAGTACTGTTCTTGTCTTGACACGAACATTCAACGCCTTTGCGCTGACCCCAATGTCAGTCATGTTTACATACCAGAAAAAACGTGCACGAGGTTGGCGGGTGTGTTACGTTATCATTTATTTGAGTGTGGTGCAGGGATCGATCTCGTGCTTTAATGGTTACATCCAAAAATCACATTTAATGTTATTTCCTATCTTCTCCCCAAAACTCATATATGACCTTGTTGCTTGCATGATAACCGGTATAGGGTACATCTTAACTCTCGTTGTGATGTAAATTATGTGCGGTGCCCAATGAAGCCCCATACAGCCTTTCTAGTCATTTTCCTTCATGAATTCCTCTTGTGCCTTTTTTTTTTATGATGTTGCGCTGTAGGCGTGCTATTAGTTTTTGCTTCAAGTACACCTGTGTTGTTCATTCTTATCCCTTTCCCTCTTTTCCCCCGTCTTCTTTCCTTTTCTCTGTGTTTCCGTGTGTGTCTCTTTCATGGACAATCTGTGCCCATCCGTGTCATGTAAATCACACAAAATAAAGGAAAAAAATAGTGTTACGTGAATAAACGAAATAATAAAATGCGCTCATTTCTTCCCGCAGGACTCTCTGGACGTGCCATTCTCGGAAGCTACCGCAACGCCGGCAGTTTCTTCGGGTCGGTGCCTAAGGGGGCACCAGACTCCATTCTGGGTCTCTCGCTCGAGTTCCAGCATGATCCGCACCCCAACAAGGTGAACCTCGCGGTCGGTGTCTACCGTGACGACAACAACCGCCCATTTGTGCTCGAATCTGTTAAGAAGGCTGACACAAGCGGTGACATGGAGTACGCACCTATCAATGGTGTTCCTGCATTCCTCAAGGCCGCACAGAAGTTGTGCTTCGGTGAGGATTGCAGCGCACTTCGCGATGGTCGCGTTGCAAGTTGCCAGACACTGGGTGGAACGGGCGCACTGCGTCTCTGTGGTGAAATGCTGCACCGTTTCGTGGACAAATGCGACACCATTCAGTCCCCTGACCCGGGTTACGCGAACCACACTGGTATCTTTCAGAGTGCTGGGATCAAGCTGTCGAACTACAGGTATTACGATGCCGCCACGAAGTCCCTTGACATCCCCGGCATGTTGAGCTCGCTGGAGAAGCTTCCCGAGCGTTCTGTTGTTTTGATGCACGCATGTGCGCACAACCCCACAGGTCTTGACCCCACCCAAGAGGACTGGGTGAAGGTGGCGGAGGTGATTAAGCGGCGCAATCTCCTTCCACTTGTGGACATGGCGTACCAGGGATTTGCCAGTGGCGACATTGATCGCGACGCCTTTTTGCCGCGTCACCTGATGAATCTCGTGCCGAATCTCATTGTGGCGCAGTCGTTTGCGAAGAACTTTGGCCTCTATGGACACCGCTGTGGTGCCTTGCACATGATTGTGGAGAACCCTGCCGAGGTGGAGCGTGTTCTTTCGCAGACCGCCATTCTCATTCGTTCCATGTACAGTAACCCACCCATCTTTGGCGCGCGTGTGGTGAACTCAGTCCTGAACTCGCCAGAACTGACGGCGATCTGGAGGAAAGAGCTGAATATGATGTCGGGTCGTCTGCGCGACGTGCGCCACCGCTTGGTGAAGGAGCTGAAGGACTGTGGGTCGACACTTGACTGGTCGCATGTGGAGCGTCAGATCGGTATGATGGCGTACACCGGACTCACAAAGGAACAAGTGGAGCTGCTGAAGAAGAAGCACCATGTATACATGACATTGAATGGTCGCGCGGCTATTTCAGGACTCAACAGCACCAACGTTGTTTACGTGGCAAAGGCCTTCCATGATGTCACGAAGTGACGTCTTTTTTTCTACCCCTCTTTATCAACAAAAATAAAGCAAAAACATTTCTCGCAAAAGATTAAAAAAAATAGACAAAAGGTGGAAGAGAATAAGTGGATACATTGAAATAAATAAAATAAAAACGGAGATTGTTCATTAAAGTATTAAACCCAGACAAATACTCTAGTGGAGCCCCAATTATTGCAACTGGGTCTTGTTTGCGATGTGAGATCTCTCTGGCACTTGAGAAACTTTATTGTGGACATTGACGCATTCTATTTGTTCTGGTTAATTCTGTTGTAGAGAATGCTAGTGTTGATGATAATGATAATACAATTATTTTTATTGGTATCTTGCAGTTTGGAAGGTTTTATTGTGCAGTTGGAATTTCTTGAAAGGAGTGGTGTAATCGGGGTTGGAGGAAGGTTATTGTTGCACCTTCCCCTAGTATGTAGGTTTTTCCTTTTGGGTCCATCAGTGTCTTTTCGACACCATTTTCCCTGTGGCTTTCATTGTTGGTGTGCCATTCAAGAATGTATCCGCGCCAGCCCAAGAACAGTGCTGACACGGGCGTCCAACGCTTATGTGCCGACCTACAATGCCAGTCATGCTGACGTGCCAAGGGAGAGCTGTGCATGGGGATGACGGGTGTTTTGTCTCAGTATTTATTTGAGTGTGGTGCAGGGATCGATCTCGTGATTTAATGATTACATCAGAAAAAGAAGAAAAAACGCACTTAATTCTATTTCTATTCTCTACAGCTATATTGATTTTATGCATTTCTTTACTTTATTCTTTTACGTTCAAACAGATTTGAGTCTCATTCTCATTTTTTTTTTGTGACGTGGACTGTGTGCGGTGCCCAATGAAGCCCCATACAGGTTTTTTAATCATTTTCCTTCATGAGTTCCTCTCGTGCCTTTTTTTTTATGATGTTGCGCTGTAGGCGTGCGATTTTTTTTCTTTTTTTCGTGCGTCAATTTCATCTATGTTGAGTATTTTAACTATTTTGTTTCTGTGTTTTTTTTTTCCTTTTTGTTTCGGTTTTTATCTTTATTGTTTTAATGTGGACGTCTTGATACGTAAATATTTTTACGACTGAAGTATTTAGTTTCTGCAGTAAGGAAGAAGAAAGGCGGCCTGAGTCTATGCAACCAGTTGAAGGTACCTTTCGCTATCGTGTGCGGGAGGTGTTGTCTCGTTTGTGGAGTCTCGCAGTACCGAATGATCGTCCCATGCCTCTGTTCACTATGTGTGCTGTACTTTTTAATGGTGGATTCCTAGTTTACAGCTTCTCTGTTGTGTTATCTGCCACATGTAGTATTGCTTTGACGCGGTGGTCCGCATTGGGGCTCACAAATATCATGGTAAATATTGTTTACGCAATTGCGATTATGTGGCGTATGCGGTTTCGTATTGATGAAGGGATTCCCCTGGAATGTAACGTTTTTCGTCTTTTTTTTATGGAGCCGGTGAATATTGCATTTGTTGTTTATGTTTTGTGGGAGATGGTTTGGATGTCATTTGTTCCTCAAATGACTACTATGTATGGGGTTCTTGATATCTGCAGTACCCACTTATCGTTGCAGTTTTGGTTTTGTGGACTGTTTATATTACTCAGCGTTCCTGTCCTGATATTGACGTTCATGACAGAGTTTTGCAGGGTGCCGAGGTGGCGACGTTGGGCGGATGAGAAGTGGCAGAGACAGCAAAGGACAATGCGTATTGTCCGAACTAATGTTTCTGCTGTTCTCCGTGAGGAACTTCCTATTGTTTTGGCGAACACTTCACTCAGATCGGTCCCACAGCAGCAGCGACAGAACCAGAACCAACAGCAGCACCAGGTGCCGATATTAGGAGACAGTAAACTAGTCCCACCCGACGCCAGTAATATAGCGGAAGTGGGGTTCGATCTTGATGATTTTGTGCATCGAGCCAGCAGTCGTGAAAACTCTCGTCATATGGCAAATTCCTGTTTCTCACCCCGAGAGGGTGATGATGGCTGGTGTCCAATGACCACTGAAGGTCACCGACAGGAGTTGCATTCTCCAACTCAATGGTTGCCGGACCGTATACGGTCGCCAGTTGTTCCACCAGCTCGAGGGATTTCGAATGGGAGTGCTGCTGTTTTTCGTACTACAAGTGATGATACTGTGGTGAACCCTGGGGGTATTTATATTTCTGTCGGGCAAAAGAATAAAGATGAAAGTGAAGGTCATCCTTCGCCCAAGTCGAAATAAGAGTGATTTTGTATTTGCCCTTCCTTCTCTTTATTCCTGTAAATTCTCATTTCAATGCATATAGGTTACATCCCCTATAAGTCCCAAACGAGGTACACTTGGGGTGATTTATTCTTTTATATTTGTTTCTCCCACTCCACACATGTGACTACATTGAGCGTGACCTTATATATATATATATATATTCAACATTTCTAACTGTTCTTTCTACGTAGCTCTCCCTCTCACACTCCCTAATTACGTGCTTTTCTCCAGGAACTGGGACTCACAATAAGGTTATTTTTTTTTTCTGTTTTCCCCCGTCTTCTTTCCTTTTCTCTGTGTTTCCGTGTGTGTCTCTTTCATGGACAATCTGTGCCCATCCGTGTCATGTAAATCACACAAAATAAAGGAAAAAAATAGTGTTACGTGAATAAACGAAATAATAAAATGCGCTCATTTCTTCCCGCAGGACTCTCTGGACGTGCCATTCTCGGAAGCTACCGCAACGCCGGCAGTTTCTTCGGGTCGGTGCCTAAGGGGGCACCAGACTCCATTCTGGGTCTCTCGCTCGAGTTCCAGCATGATCCGCACCCCAACAAGGTGAACCTCGCGGTCGGTGTCTACCGTGACGACAACAACCGCCCATTTGTGCTCGAATCTGTTAAGAAGGCTGACACAAGCGGTGACATGGAGTACGCACCTATCAATGGTGTTCCTGCATTCCTCAAGGCCGCACAGAAGTTGTGCTTCGGTGAGGATTGCAGCGCACTTCGCGATGGTCGCGTTGCAAGTTGCCAGACACTGGGTGAAACGGGCGCAATGCTTCTCTGTGGTGAAATGCTGCACCGTTTCGTGGACAAATGCGACACCATTCAGTCCCCTGACCCGGGTTACGCGAACCACACTAGTGGCTTTCAGATTGCTGGGATCAAGCTGTCGAACTACAGGTATTACGATGCCGCCACGAAGTCCCTTGACATCCCCGGCATGTTGAGCTCGCTGGAGAAGCTTCCCGAGCGTTCTGTTGTTTTGATGCATGCATGTGCGCACAACCCCACAGGTCTTGACCCCACCCAAGAGGACTGGGTGAAGGTGGCGGAGGTGATTAAGCGGCGCAATCTCCTTCCACTTGTGGACATGGCGTACCAGGGATTTGCCAGTGGCGACATTGATCGCGACGCCTTTTTGCCGCGTCACCTGATGAATCTCGTGCCGAATCTCATTGTGGCGCAGTCGTTTGCGAAGAACTTTGGCCTCTATGGACACCGCTGTGGTGCCTTGCACATGATTGTGGAGAACCCTGCCGAGGTGGAGCGTGTTCTCTCGCAGACCGCCATTCTCATTCGTTCCATGTACAGTAACCCACCCATCTTTGGCGCGCGTGTGGTGAACTCAGTCCTGAACTCGCCAGAACTGACGGCGATCTGGAGGAAAGAGCTGAATGTGATGTCGGGTCGTCTGCGCGACGTGCGCCACCGCTTGGTGAAGGAGCTGAAGGACTGTGGGTCGACACTTGACTGGTCGCATGTGGAGCGTCAGATCGGTATGATGGCGTACACCGGACTCACAAAGGAACAAGTGGAGCTGCTGAAGAAGAAGCACCATGTGTACATGACATTGAATGGTCGCGCGGCTATTTCAGGACTCAACAGCACCAACGTTGTTTACGTGGCAAAGGCCTTCCATGATGTCACGAAGTGACGTCTTTTTTTCTACCCCTCTTTATCAACAAAAATAAAGCAAAAACATTTCTCGCAAAAGGTTTTAAAAAATAGACAAAAGGTGGAAGAGAATAAGTGGATACATTGAAATAAATAAAATAAAAAAACGGAGATTGTTCATTAAAGTATTAAACCCAGACAAATACTCTACTGGAGCCCCAATTATTGCGACTGGGTCTTGGTTGTTGGGTGAAATTGTAATTCATTCAAATTAATGTAAAATAATTTAGATGAATCAAAATTATTTTTCTCTTTAATTTTTTTTTTACTGAAGGTTTAATAGGCTAGGCAGTGTTTTTTTTTTTTTCTTCTGCTATGTCTGCTAGGTTTTGTGTGTGTTTTCCTTCATGTAGTAGTTCGCTTTTTTTTAGAGATGGATAATATTGTATACTGTGTGCTTCTTTTATTTTTATTGTTTTTATTATTTTCATACTCATGTCGTTCTTTTTTTTTCCATTTTGAATATTGGGAAGTTTTTTTTTCCTGTTTGTTTCCTCTACTTGTGGAGGACGTGGTTAAAGTGTTGTTTGTGTGTTTTATTAAATTCAATTAGATAGTAAATATAGTGGTGATTGTAGATTGTATTATTTTAGAAATAAAATAAAGTAAATATATAATCGTACTGGATTTTAATTATTTTCTATTTCCATTTGCGCGACCTTTATGGACGCTGGTGTATCCCGTGGGAATCCGCTGCAGTTATCGTGCTATAACAGCAGTGTGAGCAGCCAGTCGCGTACGCCGGCGGCGGCGGCGCTGGAGGTGTCGGCGTGGCGGTACATCCACCGGCTGGAGGCGGAGGTGGCGGAACTCACGCACCAGCACGACGCGGCCTGTCAGCTGCTCTACCGCGCCGTGTGGGTGCAGGACGCGGCGGCCCTCGCCCTCGCGGAGGCCAACGAGCGGCGGGAGTTCACCGCAGCGGAGGCCGCCGACCGCGTCGATCTTCTCGCCCTTCACATCAGACGTCTCAGTGGGCCGGCGGCGGTCCTGCGGCGGCTCGACTCCCTCGCCGCACGCGTGGAGGAACTCACCAGCCGACTCTCACACGAACCAACAGCTGGCGAGAAGGGTACACAAACAGAGGAGCAGAGGGATGAATCACTACCATCACCATCACTACTGCAGCAACAACAGCGACAACAAGTGCAGCAAAAGGAACCAACACCAATAATGTCATTACCGTTATCATCATCATCATTACAATCACCACCACCACCACCACTACCACCGCCATCACTGTCAATACCCTCATCATCATTGAAGCAGCGATATAATGAACAAGAACGAGAAGAAGAAATAGAAACACAGCAGGTTTCTACCCCATCATCAAAGCTTATGTCGGATTCGGTAGCATTACAGACGCTCACCAATAGAGCTCTTGCGGTAGTAGCTTCTATTATAGCAGAGTATGTTTTCTGCTCTGATCAGATGCGAATGATAGCGGAACATGAAATTACTCTTCTTCTTTTATTTCGAGAGCGTTCTGAGAAAATGCAGTGGAGTTATCTTATGGATAAAAAAGAAGTGGAAATTCGAAGACTTGAAGATGAGGTACATCGTCTGCAAATTGAAAGTTCATTTCATGAACATGACGTTGAAAGAGTGAATTCGAGAGAGAATTCGAGAGAGAATTCTAGATCAAATGTATCAGAACTCTACAAGCGGTTTGCTGATCCCTACATCCCACCAATTTTACGTAAAACAAAAAAAATTAAACCGGAACCAATTCAAAAACTCCGAAAGGATGCCATCCGGGTAGGGGCACGACCAGCTTTCTCTATACCTGAAGCAGCGAACAGTGTTCCTGCCGCTTCTGTTAATACTCCTTCTTCTGCAGCCGTTACTTCCGTATCTGTACCAGCATTCAAAACATCGAATTCTGGGATGATTTCATCGGAAGCTCTCGTGCATAGATCGCCTTCCTCTTTCTCAACCACTTCTACACAAAAACAAGCGTCTCTGTCTTCACCTTCACCTGAGGTGAAAAGAGTGAGTACCTCGTTGATAGTGGATATGGATGGGGCTTCCACTCCTAAAAATAATGTTTCCACCACTGTTACAAAAACTTCAGAATTCATGAACAAAAACGCTAAAAGTACTTCTACGGCTACTGCGGTTGCGGCTGCGGTTGCGGCTGCGGTTGCGGCTGCGGCTGCGGCTGGTGGGACGAGTGGTGGTGCACATGCTTCAAATTTTAAGGTCACTTCTACTCTAACTCGTTCTCATACTTCAAGTACCATTAAGACTACTACTACTACTACTACTACTGCTGCTGCCGTTGCTGCTACTAAAAAAAAAGAGGTAAATATTAAAGAATCTGCTGATGCTCCTGTAGCTGCTGCCATACTTCCGCGTCTTGAACGTCCTTCTTCAGTGATACGTACATTTAAGCGAGATATATCTTCTTCCTCTTTGTCATCATCTTCCTCTTCTACAAAAGTCATATTAAAGACTCGTGAAGGTTCGAATGATAAAACAGGAATGATTACCAAGGGAAAGAGAAGTGATGTCGTTTTGCCTTCTTCCAAACCAGCACCAAGGAGTCCATCATCGAGTACATCTAGTTCTGTTTCATCTCATAAAGTTAATAGTAGACAAAACAATGGCATCCAAGAGAAAACAAAACCTGTGGTTGTTAACAATTCTTTTGACGAAAGCACCGATACTGAACCAAAACCACAAAAGAGTACACAGTCTGCAATTTTGACGAGTGCTCGTGAAAGCAAAACTGTTAGAAATAGTAAACGAAGTACTAGTAGAAGTAACAGCGAAGGAGATAATTCTTCTTTCGATACTAAAAAGGGTTTTCTATCTAAACAGGTTCGAAAAGATAGTGTTACCTCCAGTTCCTCTGTGTCGTCTATTTCACTAACATTGGAAGGTTCGCCAACTAAACACGCCAAACCGCATAAACAATCTTCGGTGAAATCAACCACAGGACTCAAGTCGATATCCTCTCTGAATCGTGGAAAAAACATCCAGCAGAGTAATACAAAAAAAAAAGAAAAGAACAACAACTCTGATGGGCGTAATACCAATGCCCTTACTGAAATAAAAAAGCTATCGTTCTCCCGTCAGTGAGAGTTGTAAATTATGTAACCATCTTTGCTTTCTTTTTTTCACATTTATTATTGCGAGTTTTTTTTTTTTTTTCGGCTGCTGTATGCCTTACTTTTTTTTTTTTTACACGGTTGTTGATGGGCTGTCACTCACCGCGCTGTTTCCCGTGGTGGTTTTTTTTATTATTTTTCTATGGGAGTGCTAAATTGGCCTCCCGTCTTCTGTAACACATACAGAAAAAAAAAGGAGAGATAAATATTTCTTTTTTTTGATTTTCTTTTTTTTTGTTTTTTATCTTCTTTTCTCGTGGTGTCTGTGCATATAAATATCTCTCTCCTTCTTCTTGGTCTTAGAGCCAGGGAAGACTATATTGAGAAAGCAAACCAAAAAAAAAAAAAAAACTCTTATTGAGAATGGTAGTACAGCTACATTCCTTCACCATTGTCTTTGTAGTCAGCCTCAGCTTCTTGCTGTTTGCATCAAAGACATGTATGCGATGTGATGATGTCTTTATGGGAGAACAAAACAGAGAATTTGGGGTACTGCAGAATGGTGATCCTGCACTCCTGAGTATTGTTTTAGAAGGTAAATCTATTTACGAGGGAGATCAATGTCAAAATGGCTGTCCTGAGAACCACAATAATAATAACAACCATAAAGGGGATAGAAACGTGGCTAGCACTGCTGCATCAACTACTTCTGCCAGTGAGAGATCGAAAAGTGATAATAGCGTTAATAACAAAAAACAAAACAAGTCTAATGGAGTGTTAGCAGTGACTGTGATTGGATCACCATCTCTTCCTAATGGTACTCTTACAAATGCATTTAAGGAACGACTTTTACACGGTCTTCGCACAGCTCTTTTGACTGGATCCCCGTGGTTAGTCATTCCATGCAAAGATGAGGAACGTAACCACGTTGAGGAGTTCTTTACACAACTACTAAACCCCAGTGAAGTACTCTTCCCAGAATATTTACTCTCTCTATTACCACCGGCAGTGCAACCGCTTGCACGGCAATTACGAGATTCGATGGCGTTTGAGATGTCACTGTTGCAATGGCTGCGGCGCGGTCGTGTGGTACGACGTCTTGAATACTCCATCAACGGTGATGAAACAGTAATGAAGAGAGAAAAAAAACATGAAGAAGAAGAAAATACCATGATTATGTCAATGAAACAGAGGGAAACTCTTGGAAATAAAGTGATAGAAGATACAGCATCTCCACGTATGATGCGTTATGGAGCCTCCACATGGATAATTCCTGCCATTGTATGGGACGACAATAACAATAATAACAACGAAAATGAAGAGATGGAAACTAATGCTGAAGTAGAGCGGGCTGCGGAATTATTGCAGCAACGCATTCTGCACGCACGGGCCTATGATGAAAGAGTGCAGGAAGGACTGCAGTCGACGGAGAATCTGCATTGGTTGAAGAAGGAGTGTTTTGATATCGTTGTGGTAAGTGGTATGTACAACGAAGTCTACGCGAAGGCTCTCTTTGCGAAGGCGTTACGTCGTTTGTGGACACTGCCGTATGCACCGAATATATCACGATCACCGCATAGTTATCACTATCACCAGAAACAATATAGACAACATGAACCATTAGCGTTTCTAGCAGAATGTGTACGTGTGCGTGTGACATCAGCGGATGATCCCATGCCTGATTGGATAATCCCTACGCCGCTACTAGTGAGTGGACCATCACCATCAAGCTTTGGTGCTTACGCTGGTTCACTGGCACGTTTTTTTGGAACCTACAGCCACGCCATTTACGTAAACTACAAACGTTGGTACAATTGTCTTCATGCAAGTTTGGTTTCATATGGGGTACTAAGCTTTCTTAATGAAGTATGCATTCTTACCGGTGCAGTTCTCAGTGGGACACTTTCACTTCAGGAGATTACACGTGCTGCTTTTATCAGAGGTTAATGAAAAAATAAAATAAAATTTAATCTGGGACAGATATTGCTGGGTAATGTAGGCATGAGATTTATGCGTGCGTGTGTGCGTGAGCATGTATTATTGTTATTGTTATTGTTATTGTTATTGTTTTTTTTTTTTTTTTTCTTTTCCATTTATGTTTCTTTCTTTCTTCCTTTGTGTGTATTTGTGTTAGTGTTTGTGTATACCCACATATATCCCTCATTCTGTATTCTTTTTATTTTTTTTTTTTTTATTATCGTTTCTCTCACACCTCTGCTACAACTGTTCTAGACCTTTTTTTTTATTTATTTATACAAATAAAAAATAAATATTTTTACTTTAATTTTCTATTTCTATTTTTAATGTAGTTCTTCTCATATCTTTTAGTGGTTGTATAACCATCATATGGAAGTCGCAAAGGATCTCAAGCAAAAGGGCAATACTTGTTTTGCCAATGGTGATGTAAATGGAGCAGAAGCAGCCTATCTGCATTGTATTAAAGTTCTTACGAATAATCAACAACAAAAAAAAGAAAAAGAAGAGATGGATAGTATTCCTAGTGATGATGCCACACGTCAATTACTCGCTACGTTGTACTCCAATCTAAGTAATGTGTACCATGTACAGGGTTCCTATGATAAAAGTTGGGAAGCTGCACAAAAGGCAACGAACTGCGACTCTACATTTACAAAAGCCTGGTTACGATATATGCAGGCACGACGATTAGCTGGATATCCTTTTGAAGCCTTTGTAACACTCTTGCGGTATTTTCGTCCGCTAATACGAAGACATAACAGTTCATCTACTTCAGCATTGAATCTAGGTGATATAAGTGAAGAAGTGGAGGAACCATTATACCGTGATTTAGGACTTTCTAATGTCTCTCCGCATATAGAGCTACAAGATTATAAGGGTGGTGTTGGTATTGTTGCTCATAGGGCAATAAAACCTAATGAAGTTATTCTTGTAGAGAAAAGATTTGAAACTTCTTTTGTAGATCCAAGTTTAAATACCCAAGGTGATTTAACAACACAAAAAATTGTGGAATATTTTGCGAGAAAGATATATCCACACCAACGAGATCACTCACAGGAATGGGAAAGATTTAAGAAAGAGTTTAAAGGTTGTTGGCCACGATGTCCAGAAGATATCTCCAATGAAACACGAGAGGAAATGATTCATGCTTTACGTGTTCAGTTTCCAGATATGAATGAAAGTGATTTTGAGGATCTTTTCTCTTTTGCTGTTATGTGTCGGTATAATTGTTTTCACTCTGGATTCTTCCGTGCGTGTGCACTCGCAAATCATAGTTGTCTTGCAAATGCAGCTATGAAATTTAATCCTCAACTAAATACAGTAACACTTATCGCTGTTCGTCCTATTAACCCTGGGGATTTTGTGAATGTAAAGTATTTTAGCGATGCACACTTTTTAATGGGAGTTGGAAAAAGAAGAGAATACCTTCGATCATGGCTTTTCTGGTGTGCATGTGAACGATGTTGTAGGGATAATGATAATGAAGCCAAAGAAGAGTATGTGCAATGTACAAATTGCCAAAAGTATACACACTTACCTTTAGTAAGTGATCCCAAAACGATAAATGATAACGATGCATTTCTTTTAAATGAAAAACCTTGTATTCATTGTGGTGAAATCCAAACATGGCCATCAGAGAAAAAACTGAGGGTATCACACTCATTGCTGTCCTTTAATGAGGTTACTTCAAACATAAAGTTTCCCGAAGTTGCTGAATGGCTTTTGGTTAAACTTCGTGAAATTTCCGAATTTCACGTACACCATGTTCATTGGCTTTATCGTGTTCTCTTCTACTTTTTCTGTGTTCCCGTAACATCCATTGTAAACGAGACCTTTGAGACGTTTACTAAACTAGGATGGAATTCGTCTCATATAGAAGATCTTTTGCGTGATTACGGCATTCGAGAGTTATATATGCAGTCCATTTCTAATAGTACAAATAAATCTTTTATTCAAGAAAAAGAAAGACAAGATACTGATTATACTTTGTCTACTCGTAATACCTATGGTAATACTATTGATAATGATATAAACATTGCATTAAATACGACTGGCACGGATGGTGCTTCAGATAAATTAACGCCTGAAGAAGTGAGAGGTGGTGATATACTTTATGTATTGTGTGTATTGTGGCAACTCATATCTCCTTTTTACCCGGAGTATGAGGGATGGGCACTACACCGGGCAATTTGTCAACTCGTGCTGTTTGCACACACACACCCAAATGAGGAGAGGGCACTGCCAGCCGCTGAGGCCATGGCACTGCTGCGCTATCATGGGAAGTACTTGGGACCCGCAGAGATTTCAACGTGGATACATGCATACAATATGCATAAACCAACAGGACAACGTAAGGGATTGCTGACAAGCAAACAGATAAAGAAAGCTTTTCAGCCTTGAAGAATGAAAAAAAAAAAAAAAAAAAAAAAAAAAAAA